GATAGTTAGTTGAAAGATTATCCTCATTGCATGTAGAACGACTCAGTCCATAACTGCTTAGATTCCTTACTCACTAAATCCCTCAGTGTGTAGCGGCTAACGACACTAGTTTTGTGTTGGTTTATTATTCTGCTTTGGCTACCCGAGTAGTGTTCTTGTTTGGCGACACCCGGTTTAACTTGCTGTTCTTGCAGTCTGACCATGGTTGCAGAGTCACAGTTCTCAATTGGTTCCCGCAAACGTCTTAAATCTCGTAGAGCATTCAGTATATCAGCCTGGTCCATGGCTTGTCTGGCTTTCACAGTAGCCTTACCTGCAAGTCTTGTCAGTTTGCTCATTTCCTTGTACCCCCACATGTCCTGGCACGAAAGTGAAACTAATCCTTGTCAGCCGTGAACGCTGTAGAGCCACCAACCAGGCCACGTTAGCGCAGTTGATATGAGACTCGCTTTCAAATCCAGCTGCGACTCGCTGCAGCTCACGGTCGGTGTTCAAAACCAGGCGGTTCCCGGGGTTCATCCAGCCTCTAGGAAATGGGTACCAGAGTTGGCACTCTGGGGTAAATGGAGGACGTCACTGTAACTACGGAGTTACATGTGGACGGCGACACAGGCGGACAGTTTCTTATTAGCTGTCTGTTCTGGTGGCAGAGCACTTACGGTTTATAACCATGTGCAGTGACGCTGTGTCACATCTCCCGACATTACCTTTACCTTTACCTATATAAGAATAATGCAATTTAAAATTTACAAAATTTAAAACAAAACTAACAGTTATCTTCATAACACTGCAAGCAAACTGAATATTAAAATTAACAAGAAACTGTTATTTACATGACCTGTAGTTTAATTCTCTGTTTTAAAACAAAATACGCAAAAATATCAAGCAAAATATAAGACCTTAGTAAAACAGCACAATAAAACACAATCCCGAATTTGAGTATAAATATGCAACAAAGATCTGTCTTATGTGCCTCCGGGCACGTTGAGGATTGACTGATGCAACAAAGAACTATATCAGAATTCAGTATAATTGCACAAATATAAATGAATAACCTGCAATACAAGAGGTAAGAAAAAATGCTTGATCTACTGAATGAAATGACATATGCTTAACTGACAGGATGGATGAGATTACATATATAAATGACTGAAAGGCTTTCTGAGATTACACGCATAAATAAGTGACAGGCTGAATGAAATTACACATATAAATTACTGGCTTATGAGAAGATGCATGCTAAACTGACTAATTGCTTGAGGGCACGTATACAGATGACAGAAGTGCTGTATGACAGCGCACAGACATAAAGTTCTGGCCTGTCATATGAAACTACAAATAGAATAACCTAAAATAATTTTTGAGACATACAGCACATTGGCAACTATGAACCTCTTTTAACTACAGTTAAAGGTGAAAAATGCAATGGTATGGACATGTGATAAGATATAACTGCCTCTCAAAAACAATACTGCAGGACTCAGTTGAGAGAAAGAGGAGAAGAGGTAGACCAAGAAAGACCTGGTTAGAAACCTGACTGACTGGACAGGCCTCAGGTATGCAACCATGAAGTCAATCGCCATTGACCGCCAAAGGTGGAGAGAGATGATCAGACAGTCAACAGAAACTGGTGACCCAACTACATGTAGGGGATGATGGTGATGATGATGATACGTATACTGAAATGATGAATGTGCTTACACATAAATAAGGAACTGAACTGCTGTATGATAATTAACATAATAATAAAAATTATTGGTCTATCGTTTGATATAAACATAAAAATGACTGACCGGCTTTACGAGAGTAGACCATCAATGCACCATCATCAAATCCACAGAACAATCGTTCATCAACAAATTTGAGCGATACGGTCACAGCTGGTGTTCGTAGTACTGCCAGTGGCTTACGATGAACTTCATCCCGACTTATCAGTGGGAAGATAAGTGTTCTACAGCAGAAGAAATAGACAATAATAAACACCAAGGCTGTGTCACAGAGACAAAGTGCAGAACAGGACTAGTAAAAACTTTGTTTTATCAAATAAAGTATAATTTATGCGCTAAAATCCCTATCATGTGAGGTTAGAAACAGAATTCTCACATATTAAACAGAGCCAGTTTTAACATATGGCTCTGAAATTTAGATAATTAACAAAGAGTGAGAAATTACACTGAAACTGGCTGATTGTGTGGTTCCTCTGTCCTTTTAGGAGGGGGTGAATGGGCGACAGGCCCACTGCCTTCCTAAAAAGTCTGCTGTAAATGGTGACTAATCAGGGGTGTTTCCTTCGAAGTCAGAGTGCATGTTAATGAGAGATGAGTTGGAGTAGTCTTGGTTTCTTCGTTATCATGAATGGCACTACGAGGAGTTACCAGGGGATCTGGCTGATGCTCAACACTCAAGGAAAGGGTGGGACAGATAAACAATCAGACAGTTACTGGTGCCATCGGAACTGAAACTTTCCGTTTGCTGCTGAAGATTGGGACGGAGAACTTTTGGTGGTGTCCCGAGTGCTATGATGTCAGTTCTTGATTCAACATTCAACATTCATTCTTCATTATTATCGCCATCAAGTACTGTGGCAAATGGCAAGAGGTACATGCCTCTACGCAACCTACAAACTCCAACAGTATGTCCCAGTTCATGTGCTGACACCTGTCCATGCCACAACACAGAGCTGTCAAGAATTTCTTACTTTATCTTCCTTTACCTGTCATTCCGCAAATCTCTCCAGTGGTCACATGTTCTAGTTTCCCTCCTCTCAAAAAATGGCAGAAGAAATGTGGTTTCTGAGATGAAAAAAATGACTGGCAAGAAAGATGAAAAGTGAGCAAGAGGAAGGCTAGAAACCTGGATGGTTTAGCCACATGACATGGGTGAGACAAGAACACTGACCTGATCCATGGTTCTGGTGAGAGTGTGAGATTGTAAAAGATGACAGCCTATGCTTGTCTGCATGATACATGATAATGATGATGCCAGGTGACACCAAGTTCTTGATGTTCACTTTTCACAACATGTCCACACAAAAACATTTACTTTCTTTGTTTAATTTCCCTAAAATCTCATGGTTTGCCCCTGTTTCAAGGATGACTGCCTCCTTCTGTATCCTTCAATCAATCATTCCATGATATTTTCTGCACTCAGTCTCAAAATCCACATTTCTGCTGCCAGGTGGTCTTTTTTTTTTTTTTTTTGCCTGACCACTTAATGTTCATATCTTATGTGCATATAACAAAGGTTTCATATAGCCCTAATCTATATTAAATGTGGTTTTGTTCACATGGCCATCTTGAGAAAAAGTAAAGGACCCTTTTCTCACCATCAAGCTATTGGGCACACCAGTCTGCACTCTTTAGGTGATATGGAGCCAAGGTCATTTCTGAAAAAAGTCCAGCTCCATTATAGAAGCATCTTGAGCAAATTGACCTCATAATGAGATATGATGTTAACAATAATGTCACAACTTTTACAAATTATAATTTTTCACCACAAATAATATCAATTGTTTTTTAAGTCAATATAATCATACCCACCACGTACACACTCTGCAGCGGAAACCAGTAACAAAGCTTTTATTTAGGTGTAGTATTCACGGCCAAAAGACGTAATGTTATCAAAAACTCAAATATGCCGGGAAAACAACGTTATCTAGCCAACAGGGTTAACAATTCTTTTCCTCACTGCAACTTAAATTTCTTTTATTTGTTTCTATCTTTGCCTCAGATTCTTTTTTTTTTTTTTTATACTGAAGGCAAGGTATCATGTGTCTGAAGTGTCTATCTTTGCCTCAGATTCCTTTTTTTTTTAATACTGAAGGCAAGGTATCATGTGGCTGAAGTTTCTATCTTTGCCTCAGATTCCTTTTTTTTTTTTTTTTATACTGAAGGCAAGGTATCATGTGTCTGAAGTTTCTATCTTTGCCTCAGATTCCTTTTTTTTTTTTTTTATACTGAAGGCAAGGTATCATGTGTCTGAAGTTTCTATCTTTGCCTCAGATTCCTTTTTTTTTTAATACTGAAGGCAAGGCATCATGTGTCTGAAGTTTCTATCTTTGCCACAGATTCCTTTTTTTTTTAATACTGAAGGCAAGGTATCATGTGTCTGAAGTTTCTATCTTTGCCTCAGATTCCTTTTTTTTTTTTTAATACTGAAGGCAAGGTATCATGTGTCTGAAGTTTCTATCTTTGCCACAGATTCCTTTTTTTTTTAATACTGAAGGCAAGGTATCATGTGTCTGAAGTTTCTATCTTTGCCACAGATGCCTTTTTTTTTATACTGAAGGCAAGGTATCATGTGTCTGAAGTTTCTATCTTTGCTACAGATTCCTTTTTTTTTTTTTTTACTGAAGGCAAGGTATCATGTGTCTGAAGTTTCTATCTTTGCCACAGATGCCTTTTTTTTTTTATACTGAAGGCAAGGTATCATGTGTCTGAAGTTACGACAAGACAAGCTGCATGATAAATAACACGACGAAATTAGGAAACATAAAATAAACACTTACTCTCTGTGAGAGTTAGTCAGCCATACAGAATCCTCAGGAAACAGAAAGTTCTCTGATTTAAGCACCTCACCACATCCTGGGACTAACTCTACAGCCAGAATGTCACTGCTGCATGCTCTGTAGGTTACAATAGTTCAAGACTGGAAATGCTTTGTTAGTAACATATATCAACACATACAGAAAACATGGACACTTCAGAAGACGGAAGGAAAATAGTGGCGACAGAAATAAAATGTTTACATACTATGCTAAGTGTAACCAGGAAAGATCGACTTAGGAACAATGATATCAGTAGAAGAGTTGGCATAGAACCACTACTGAACTTTATAGGTAGACAACAAATAAAATGGTTTGGCCATTTAACAATACTGGAATCAGACAGGGCAATGTAGAGAGCAATGTTACGCATATTTATCAGTACAGAACCACAGGGTGATGGACCGAAGAAATATCAGAGACTGAAAAGTACTTCATGTGAAGTGAACAGAACAGTCTGTTTCAGAGATCTCTTCCTGCAATGATGCTGCATTCCAGGAAAAGAGAGAAGGAGATGAAGAAGAAGAAGAAGAAAACCAGCTCAACAATCAGATAATAGTAAGCTAAATTTTAAAAAAAAGATACAGTACAAAAATCTAAAAGTTTTTTCTTCTGAATTCATCCTTAGAGGTGTGACTGACATGTTGCCTGTGAGAGTATTGCACAAAGCATGGACTCTGTAGCTTCAGCAAAAACTTTAAGAAAACTCAGCAACATCTGCGATCGCAAACTGAAGGCTGGAAACTAGAACTGAACCCACAACCTTAAGAGCATGAGGCAAATGCCACGTCCATTTCATATTGAGTACACAAACTGCAGTCAAATAATGTTAGTAAAATCGTATAAGCACACACATACACTTTGACTGAAGCTATTCCTATGCATGCTCAGTCCTCTGATGCAGCAGCCACTCTAAGGTGCCTCTATTGATTGTTGTCATAAGGAGTTGGTCATAACTCTCCTATCTTGTCACAGATGAGCTTCACCATGCTTTGCTCCAAGGTCACACAATTGTGTTACTGTCAGAGATTCATCATTATCCACTAGCAATGCCTGTACAGCACTGATGCTATCTGCTCTGTCCATGCTTCCCCCTCCCCCACACACACATTTTGGTGCATTCTTTGATAGATGGTCTGCTCGCTCATGACCTTTTACACCAGCATGACCAGGTGTGTAGATACCGGTGAGGGAAGTTAAGTGCAATTTGTGAATGATTTCAGAGCACATACACAATCGACTTCACAGCCACAGGTACACAAAATTTAAAATCGGTGAATCAGCCATGTACATATGTGGATTGGCACCTGAGACAGCAGATGATGTCTTCCAAGACTGTCTCAAATAATATATCAAGGCAAAACTTTTGACCAAGAGAAACATTGGGCAAGTCAAAACATTACAGGTCGCTGAGTGAGTTACAAAAGACAGTGAAGTTCATGCTAGAGACAACATTGCAGATATAGATAATTTATTTCAAGCAAAAGAAAAAAGAGAAAAAGAGCACATACCAATTGTTGTGATATGCAATACCTTAACATCTATAAAGCATGAACAGAACATTCATCTCAACAAATAGTGTACAGTAAACATAAATGACAAACAAACATACAACAGGTATCTACTGAAGAAACATAATATTATTTTAGGAAATACTAGTGTAACAGTTAACTTGCTTGTAACAATGTTCTGGAGTTACTCCTTAGTGACATTTAGTAAAATGCTTGAGGTAATTCCCTAGCTATGTCCGGTATAGGTTTGCAGTCACTCCCCAGTTCTTTCCAGTACAGGTTCTTGGTTCCCCCCCCCCCCCCAGTTCTATCCAGTACAGGTTTAGGGTCACTCCCCAGTTCTGTCCAGTAGAGGTTTGTGGTCACTTCCCAGTTCTGTCAGGACAGGTTTGCTACCCAGTTCTGTCTATGTGTACCAACTGATTTTTACACATGTAGTATAGCATATGTATAAAAAAAGTAACCATCAAAACAAGAAGGGATAGGATCATGAAAACCAACATCAGAGAGAGGACCGGTAAAAATATAATTTTAATTACACTGAAAGACACCAAAATTATGTGATCTGGCCTTCTGGTAAGAATTAAACCAATCCAAACTGTATATGAAACCTTCTACAGCCGAACATTAGTGCAGAAGATATCAACTGTATGCTGCCAACAGAGATGCAATCAGGCCTGTTCCAACCACAATGAAGACAAAACTGTATTGTATATGAGCAGATATGGACAGCAGAATAGTTTTCATAAAGGTTACTGGCCTCCTGATATAAGTCTTCTGGCAAAAGAAGAAAAGAAGAAGAAGAAGAAAGTGCAAAAGGCAAGAGGAAGGCCAAGGAAGAGTTCAACAGAGAGTGTAGCAAGATCCTGCAAAAATATGAACAAAGATATCAGTCAAGCCAACTGAGAGTAAGAAGTAAGTAAACTGAGTGCCCACATCAAAAAGAGACAATCTACATTCTTTGGTCAAGTGATGAGAAGGTGAAAACTGGAGTATCATGACAGTGGGAAAGTTGGAGGAGAGGAGAGGCAGAGGAAGACTGAGAGAAAAGAAGGACAATCTGACATCATGGCATGGAGGGTCATCTGTGTAAGGGTTGATTGAAAGTATACAAGACAGAAGGTTATGGACAGCATGACTGCCAACCCATACAGCATGGACTTTAAGAAGAAGTAAAGGGTCCTTTTTAATGACACCAGTAGCAGATCAGTCATATGATGCTAGACTCATATGTTTATAGACTAGTCAGTACTCTTAGGGGATGATGTGGACAAGGATGTATGGCAGCCACCTTTACTTCCCAGGATTTAACATGGTCAAGATTTGAGGCTAGGTCAACCTGGGTGTCAATTTAATTTTTTTTTTTTAAAAATCAAAGTGGATCCAAATTCGAACCCATGACTTCTGAGCCAGAGGCGAGCATCCAATCGCTACATCACAACGGCTTCTAAATCAAGAGTTGCAAGCCAAATACAGAAAACTTTGACACTGAGCCACAAAGATGAAAAAGGTGTGTTGACAAACGATGAAGAGATATAACATATAACAACATAGTTTAAGACTTACTTGAATGACTCCATCAATGAAGGTTTTGAATTGTGAACTGACAAGACTGACACTTGTCCATGGGTGGGTGTTGATGAACACACCCACAGATGCTGGATACCAATTCCATGAACTGATTTCACTGGATTTAAGAAGATTGATACAGCACATCTAATCTACGGACAGACACAAAACATACAATCTATGGTTAGACATAGCAGGTTCTATTCTCATTTGTTGTGAGTGACCATGTGTGGCACTGGTAGCATAGACTGGGAATGAATATACTTTGTATGAGATGTTTGTTTGTGCTGATCTGTATTTTATAATGATGTAAGAGAGTGGCTAGTTGTCAAATACTTGGTTTTATTTAAACATTAGATTTTAATTTCCTCATTCAATTTGCCATCTTCTGTTAATGTTGTTCCCAGATATTTTAACATTCTGATGCCTGTTTAATACCTTTGTACTGTAATGTAATATTTAAGCTCTGCTTCTTTCTTGAATTGAAAAAATGATCTACCTTAGTGTAATTTTTGGGGACATCAACTGGCAAGTGTTTCATAAAGTGTACTGGTGTCACATCAAAGTCACTGCCATCGCTGCTGATAGTTCCATCCCATGCCAAACTGTTAGACCTTTCTAGTGCCAGCTTGGCCATCAGGAAATCCATGCACCAGTCTTGCTTAATAGCAGACGTCTGTGTTTGAAGTACATAGTGTGGCTTGTCTGACCTAGGATTCAAAACATCACAAAACAGAAACAAATTAAAGTAATAATACGGAGACAAATATAAAAAACATACTTTAAAAAATACTCTTCTTCTTCGCATTCACGGGCTGTAAACTCTTTTGAGAAGTCCTGATTGTATATCCACTTATGGATTTTGGTCTTGTTTCCAGAACTTGAATTTTGCACATCTGTTTTACAAATCTAGGTTATTTGTATGCACACTGTTGGTTCCTTACCTCTCAGGCAGATGCACTCTCATAATTTGTCATTTTGTACTACATGCTTGTTGGCAGGAGTCTATTCTTTTTGTTTTTTTTGCCCCCAAAATGGGGCTCTGAAAAAAATACGAATTAAAAAGTTTATCCTTTACAAGATGTTGCAGAATTAAACCCCAGCATTTTTTGGTTGTTGTGGTTTTTCTAGGCACATTTACATCCAGTAGTTTGCCACTGCCTTATGGATGGTCGGCTTCTCGATACCACTGTCAAAACCAGCGCAAGGCTCCCTGACATTAGGAAGCGAATTTGCAACGTCTAAGCCAGAGACGCCAACACAGGGATTAAACAAATACAAAAACAGGTTTTTGGCTTAAACGTGTAGAAAGTAGAGTAAGCTGAAGGTTCGTTTTCAAATCCTGTGGCATAATAAGCATATAGTGCTAGGACCATAAGTTTAACTCATTATGTATAAGGCAGTTATTATTTAACTCATTTAATCCCAAACAGTTTTACTTCAGCTCATCATATATATTTGGGACAGGAGTTACCCATGTGTGGGTTCCGAGGCTCCTTTTTGCAGAACAAAGAATAGATCCACTGCCTTCCTAACAAGCAGTTACAGGAGGCGACTAATTAGGGGTATTTCCTTGAAGTCAGAGTGCACTCTCCTAACAGGTCAGGGAACCAGCGGTCTGCATAATTTAAGCACAATTTGTAAAACAGATGTGCACACACAACTAAAGTTCTGGGTCAAAAGACCTCAAATTTTCTTAAATATATATATATAAGCAAATTAAGCCTCCTACTTTACTATCCAAGTTATCAGGGAGACATACTGTATCATTGTATCATTGCTTTTATTGTTACATATAATTTATTATTTTAATACTCCAAGCTCGATGCCAGAAAAAAAAAACAGGCAACTTTTGAGCCGAAAGCAGACACAAAAATCGTTCAATTACACTTCCCTCTTAAATGTATTTATATCTCCAATGTTTCATTAATTTAAAATAATCTCCCCATCCTGCCAATACATCCTTGTTTTTTTTTTTTTTTTTTTATCACCACTTTCTGTCTTCAAGAATCATGGAAAGAAACAGCTGGTGGTCCAGTACTCAATGGGTGAAACTGGCTACTGTCATTATGTGTGAATGTAAACTCTTTAATATAATCAACCCCTCTTGGGCACTTTCTTGCTCTCATATCAACTCTTTTTAGATGCAGTGTCATGCTGGTAGAAGGTGTTTTTAGATCTTAACAAGATCCCCAATGAAAATGTCACTCCAAGGGGACATTATTATATACAGATATGGACCTGTAGTGAAAGGTAAAACAGTGGGTGATGTTTTATTAGAAAGGTGAATTCGCACTGTTTAATAGTACACAGCCTTGAGTGTGTCACAACATCCAGTATGAGAATGGAGGTGGAAGCAGTAATGGCAGCTTTCCAATGCCTCAAGAGCAGACCAACCTGATATATTGTTACCGTAATGGACTCACATAGGATGCTTTGGAAAACAGAAACTGAGATCTCACACACAAAGTGACCTGCCAAAACTGCCAATTACTGCCTTTATTATACCACTTTTGCAGTGTAGGCAGGGGGACTTTGAACCTGACAGTTTACAGCTGCAAGGCTAGTGCTGTCGCCAAGACTGTGCAGGTGAGGATTTTATTTTGCCCCCAAGAAAAAAAAACCAGCCTTACTGAGAATTTGAACCCAGCGTTCTAACCATTCGGCCACTCCTCAAAGTGACTTGCACTGCTAAACAAAATTCAGATCAGGAGCATAACATGGATTTTCTGTGCAGGAGATTCAGGTGGGCAGGATAATGAGCAAGTTGATAGACTGACTGCTGCCGCTCCTCTGAGCTACTGTATGATGAGCGGACATTATAAAGGTTCTCTTGGATCAATCCAACGGAACAGACATAATCCATACCTTGAAATACTAATTCACTGTGAGGGAGGGGAACGGGCTGAGTAAATGTACTGGAATATGTTCAACACTGAGTAGAAACATAGGCAGACTTTAAATCAGGTTGCAATTGGTGGTACTATTAGGATGTTGACTTTTCATTGCTACTGAGAAGGAAGGAGGAAATGTGGGAATGTCCTGAGTGATTGCTTCGTTTAAAAACTATCTGATATTCTCTGAACCAAAACCATGACTATGAAGCTCAATTCATGTGTCTTCTCCATGTTGAGTTTGGTGTCCAGGATTTCTCATCTTCTTGTTGTGCTACTCACTGATAAAGGCTTTGGCCAAAATGTTCTTTTGTTCCTGTGTATGTTTTGATTCTTCCTGTGTATCTTGTGGGTTTTTCCCTCTCCCATCCATGAAGCTTCCTAGTCGTAGTTTGTGTTCACTTAAGTTATTTATACCAGCCTGACTTCTGTCACCAGTATTTTCATCATTATTTGATATTCTGATTCTTTATTCATGTGTAGGAAGATGCCATCGGTCATAGGTTCAAATTGAACAGAGCCGGCCATTTTTTTTTTTAATGACCTTGGCTCCCAGTCAACCCAGCTTTAGGTAAAGTCTAGGGAAGTAAAGGTGGCTGGCACAATGTTGACACCTCACCCATCCGGTGTTGATTGATCTATAAAATATAGGTCTAGAATTATGTGCATAATAAGCGTGAAGGTGTGGAAAAGGGTCCTCTACAATTTATCTGATAAATTTTTATTTACATGCACTAATTTTACATAATACAGAATAAAAATCACAATCATCATTATCATCACAAACCACTTCTGATGATAAGCGTCCTGTGGAGGAATAATTTGCGATCCAGCGCACGTTGGCTGCCACTGGCTATTGCCATGCCGTAAAGGCGTAGAGCAAGGCTATTCAACTGTCAGCCCGTGGGCCAAATGTCCCCCGAGAAAGGCCTAACATGTGGCCCGCAGGTCATTACCAGTTTTTTTGTATTAATAATGTCTTAATAATGGTGACAATTGGTAAATAAATGCACTTACTTTCTGACATCTGGTTTCTATTTCTCTGTCAATTTTACCATCTTCTGTGATCATACTTCCTAGATATTTAAACTCCCTAACTTGATTCAGAGCAGAACCATTCATCTGTATGTGTAGGGGGGCAGTGGTTCTGCTAACTTACATTGTTTCGGTTTTGTTTACATTAATCTTCATGTTGTATTTACTGCATGCTGAGTTTAACCTGTCAATGTGGTCTTGTCTGTATTAGAACTTGCTTCTTTAGATATTCTGTCTATATAAATGTTAAATAACAGTGCCGAGAGCACACATCCCTGTCTCACACCTGTGTTGACTGTGAACATATCTGATATGCCTTCTTGTGTTCTTATTGCAATTTGGCTTGTGTGGTACACGGCTATGATGTTCTCTAGTAACTGTCTTTGTACCCCGTTGTTCTCAATGAAAAACATAAAAACAGATGAAGAAACATAACACATAACTACTAACCGAGAATTATCTTGCAGAATAATGGAGCAACTGTTGACAAGTCTCAGCTGTTCTTCCTTGATCTGAATCATTCGCTGCAAGTCTCTGGAGACTTCATGCACCAGCTCATCGCTCAAACCCTGCAGACATTCACCAGACATTGACCTGAACACTGCTGTTATATATTAGGTTTTCATGGGGCAGAAGAAGCTATACTAACAATTCAGATGTAATGAGTTAATGTTCCCAGTGTGGGGTTGAGGCCATGTTTTGAGGAAATAAACAGACCCACTGCCCCTTAACAATCTTGTCAGAAAAGATGACTGATTAAGAGTTCGCTGGGAAAGGAAAGGGGGGGGGGGGGGGGGGGGGAGACAGAAGAAAGAAAGAAAGAAAGAAAGAAAGAAAGAAAGAAAGAAAGAGAGAGAAAGAGGAGAGGAAGAAGGAGAGGGAGGGAGGGAGGGAGGGAGGGAGGAAGGAAGAAAGGAAGGAAAGGAAGAAAGGAAGAAGGAAGGAAGGAAGGAAGAAGGAAGGAAGGAAAGAAAGAAAGAAAGAAAGAAAGAAAGAAAGAAAGAAAGAAAGAAAGAAAGAAAGAAAGAAAGAAGAAAGAAAGAAAGAAAGAAAGAAAGAAAGAAAGAAAGAAAGAAAAAAAAAGAAAAAGAAAGAAAGAAAGAAAGAAAGAAAGAAAGAAAGAAAGAAAGAAAGAAAGAAAGAAAGAAAACAAAGAAAGAAAGAAAGAAAGAAAGAAAGAAAGAAAGAAAGAAAGAAGAAAGAAAAGAAAGAAAGAAAGAAAGAAAGAAAGAAAGAAAGAAAGAAAGAAAGAAAGAAGAAAGAAAGAAAGAAAGAAAGAAAGAAAGAAAGAAAGAAAGAAAGAAAGAAAGAAAGAAAGAAAGAAAGAAAGAAAGAAAGAAAGAAAGAAAGAAAGAAAGAAAGAAAGAAAGAAAGAAAGAAAGAAAGAAAGAAAGAAAGACCAGACAGACAGGCAGGCAGGCAGGCAGGCAGGCAGGCAGATGGACAGATGGAGGGATGGACGGAGAGACAGACAGATGGACAGACAGAAGAATAGGAGCAGAAGTAAGAGAAGTTAACTACTTGTGACAAATAGGAGTCAGAATAGTAAACTGTCTCTGAAGAAATCAATGAACATATTATGAGCTGCATGGCATAGAAAGAGTTAACTCCTGCTGCACTAGCGACAGTATTCATCACAAGCATTTTCATTTCATTTAGACTTACATGTCCTGAATAAGATCGCTTCAGTGAGGACAGGAGGGCACTGATCTGTCCTAGAACTGTGTGATCATGAACCATCTCATGGAGGTCAGCAAACAGGTGAAATGGGTCATCTTTTGGTGGTTCTGACAAATAAAAGCAGTAGTGCACAAATGTTTAATCTCATCTCATTTCATCTTAATCTTCTGTCCTGTAATATCCAAGTCATGTTAAAAAAAAAGTAAACGTCCTTTTACATGCCACCCTGGGTCGACCTGAGGCCAAAATTATATCTGGAACAAATTTAGCTCCATGTGGATTTGAACCCAAAGCCTTCAGATGCACAGGTGATCATCTACCTACTACATCATGTGACTTCCTGCTATGTTGAGATGAAGTATAATTGAGGCTTTGTGTGTGCTTTTTACATAAGGTTTTCTAGAGACTGTTTTTTCCCCCTGTCCATTATTTGAATAGTTGGCCTCTATTTTCATTGCCCTTTGATTGTGGTATAGTGTGTTGAAAGCAAAATTAAAATGCCCAAACCATTTCACTTGTTTTCTAATGAAATCTAGCATTGTTCCAAGAAGGCAAATTATTATTTTGATGTGGGGGGGCACATTAGCGCAGTCGATAAGAGGCTCGCTTTCAAATCCAGCTGCAACTCGCTGCAGCCCACGGTCGGTGTTCGAAACCGGGTGGTTCCAGGGATTCACTCAGCCTCTAGGAAATGAGTATCAGTGTTGATACTCTGTGGTAAATGGAGGAACCTTCCTGTAGCTACAGAGTTACGTGCGAAAGGCAGAGCACTTATGGTTTATAACCGTGTGCAATGATGCTGGTTCACATCTCCCAACTTTACCTTTACCTTTTACCTTTATAATTTTTTTTTATATATTCTGAAAAAAAGTACAGAACAAACATCAATTTTTCTGCGTTGTCACCACTGCATTGTATGCAAGTGCTCCAGAGCTGAGAAAATGCTTGGATTGATATAAAGACAAATGCTCTTGGTCACATATGTAACCACTCATGCACTACTTGCTGTAACTCTTCATTGGATCAAAAAGTCTTTCCTCTCAATGACTCTTTGAGTTGTCTAAACAGGTGGAAATCACTTGGGAATAGGTATAACGAGTATTGGAGATGTGGTATACACTGAAAGTAGATGTCTTTGATAATTCAACTGTTCCACGGGCAGTATGGGGTAGAGCATTGTCATGTTGCAAAACAAAATAATGTCACCTGCTTAACACTCTTGACATTCTTAACAACAATATTGACAGGTTACAAGATAAGGGCATAGTTTTTGTAATTTCTATGACATTCTTAAGGGTTTCATTTGAAGCCCCTTCGTATGTATCAGAAAAAGTCTTGGGATGTTAAGGTGGCCAGTGTGATGCTAACCCCATTATACAATGAGCACCAGCTGATTATGAAAACATGGAAACAGCACCATATGCCCAACATGTCTGTGGCTTTAAACCTGTCCTTTTCCTTATTTACACACAAGAGAGCTACCCAGGGGGTTAAGTAAACCAACAGAGGACCCATTTTGAGAGAATAAGGACTGTTACCGGCACCTTTCCATTTATCCAGACAATACTATTATACTCTGCTGCAGGGGAGGCAGGGGCATCACAGCCATTGGCAATGGTGAGTATAATTAGCAAGAACAACTGACAGGGACTTATAACCATAATTGCTGCCTCTAACCTGTTTCCAACATCAATCAATTATGTTTAAGGATGAAGTTCCTCCTCTTCATAGCCCATAGCCTGGGCAGTATTTTAAAGATCCTGTGGTGTGGCTCAGGCAGCATGACTCTTCTTTCAGACAGCCTTGTTGATCTGTATAACTGAATGAGGTGGTCTACCAATTAACCATCCCCAGAGAAGCAGGAACTAAAATATACCATCCCATTGTGGTTTCCAGTGTCCCAGTTGGGGGAGAAAAAAAAAACAGGCAAAATGTTTCCTAAAAACCATGTCACAAATGGTGACTAATTGCCGAAATTGTCTGTGTTACGATAAAAAGTGAAAACAGGGCAGCCTAGCTGTGAACCACCATACATTCTGCTAACTGCTCTTTTAAGGGTTAACAAGGAGAAAGGAAAACATACCAGCTTGTGCAGAGATGATGTTTATCTTTCCTGGCTCTCGCTTCACAATGCTGAGCATGTCAGGTGTAATGGCTGTGTCTTTCAACTCTAGGTCTTTCAATTTGGCCACCCATCTCAGGACTAATCTCTCCACTGTGCAGTTTGACTGTTCTCTAAGGAAAGCGAAGAAAGGATATATGGCCTCCAAGACAAATGAAGTAAGTTTTTTGTTATTTCTTATATATGTGTATATACTTATGCACATTTACACACACACACACACACACACACACAGGAGAGACAGACAGAAAGACGTACTGACTGTCAGAGAAACAGAGAAAGAGAAACTGCTGCCTACTGCAAGTACTTTAATGTAACTGACTAATGTCTTCTTCTTCTTCATTCACTGGTGCTCCAGCGGTTAGTCCTGATAGTTCATCCTTTTGGACTTTGGACACACCAGAGTCTATTCTTGTTTTTTTCATGAATGGGGCAGACAGAGTGGCTGGATCTGCACCACTGGGTGGTGAATTGATACATGACAAGGCAGATGTGGTCAGGACCCTTTGGGAAAAAGCAATCAAGTCAGAAGCGGAACAAGATTTTATGGCCTGAAAAGAATGAGGCACCTAGGTGTAACCAGAGGGTCTGGCCGGCTCACTACACTCTCAGGAAAGGCAAGATAAACATATAACCAGATTACAACCGGTACTGTTAGTACTGGAACTCTGCGTTGGCTGCTGAAGATGAAGACGGAGCTCGCATGGGAATGTCCTGAGTGTTGTGATGTCAATTCTTGACTCAACTTAACTGGGGCCCAGGAACCCACATGGAGACATTAGGATGTGCATCACGCCGGCCGCCTACTCACAACTAATTCATGTAGTGCGACAAACCCTAGAATATGATACGATAACCTCTAGTTTCAGAATGCAGATGAAGGCATTCACAACAGCTTTCCACTAGCTTTAAAACTATATCATAATGCACAAACATGTCAGTTCTTTCTTAGCTCAACTCAGCACATGACAGACAGGTAGGTAGACAGATTTGGGTGGGGGGGGGGGGGGGGGGGGGGGGTGTAAGAGAGATAAAGATATGAGAATGACAGAGATAGAGCTAAGTATAGTGAGAAAAGAATTCAATTCAACTAGTTAGTTTACACCAGCATGTTTTGGCTGTTGTGGTTTTTCTAAGCAAATTTTATATTCAGTAGTTTGCCACTGCTTCCTAAATGGTCACTTCTCTGTACCACTGTCCAGCGCAAGACAAATCATCAGCTTGAATTGAACCTGACACACCTGCATTATGAAGCACATTCGTAACACCTGAGCCACAGTTGCCGATAATTCAACTAGATAATATGTAAATGAAATTAAAATAAGATCTGCAGGGAGGAGGGAAGGGGAAAAAGAAAAAGAATAAGAAGCTGCCAGATACCCTAGTCTCATTTCAGATGTTTATTATTTATATCATATGATATGACATTAATTATGGAAGAGGTGACATCGTGAAGTAATTGGATTTCAGGCAAAATGATTTTGTCATAGCTTTTCAAAAAAGTAATAGAAACGTTTTCCAATCATTTAATTATTATTATATACATAATTGGTTATATATTTTAATTTCTTTAAAAGTTTAACTTTAAAAAATGCTTGTTTACAAAATTGTGTTAACTAAACTAATAATATTGATAATTGATTTTTTATTTAAAACTTATAGTAATAAAAAAATCAATTGTTTAATTAAAACTGAGACTTCAAAAAATATTCCAGAATGGAAATGTTGTGCATAGTGACTACAGTAATAACTGGGACTGCATTTGCTATTAACATAACAACTGAGATACAGTTGGTTTTTTAATGTAACAAATGAGATAAAATTGGTTAATGTAGCAACTCAAATATAATTGGTCAATGTAAAAAGTTGGACAGTCAGTCAAAGTAACAAGTGAGATAGAATTGATTAATATAAAGGCTGGCATACAGGCAAATAATTTAACATTCTATCATACTACTCTATACAAAAAAACTATTTTTACCTACACTACACTAATTCTATCCTACATTATTTTTATTAACAATCTAAAATCTATGAGTGAAGGAGTTAAAATCTCCTACTTCTGAGTGACCTTGACACACAGCAGCAGATCATTCATTAGTATCAGGCGTCTGTGTTTGCACTTCAAACTCTCAAACTCCCCGAGCTGCAATAAAAAACATTTCAATGTCAAGTATGCTGGTGATCACTGTATGAAAAATAAATCTTTGCAATGTCAAGTATGCTGGTGAACACTGTATGGAAAATAAAACATTTCAATGTCAAGTATGCTGGTGAACACTGTATGGAAAATAAAACATTTCAATGTCAAGAACATTGGTGATCACTGCATGGAAAATAAAACATTTCAATGTCAAGAACATTGGTGATCACTGTATGGAAAATTAAACCAAAAAAAAACATCTCTTTGTTTCTCCTTGATTTTTTTCCTTCAAAAAAGTTTGCCAAAGGTCACAATAGAAGGAATTCAATCGTATTACAGAATCTCTTATATGTCGTGGGAAAGAACTAATAAATTTCAGTGAATTAACACTTTCAGTAGCAAACATCAGGATCAAAATATATAAAATGTTGATAAGACCAGTCTTTTATATGGCTCTGAAACCTGGAGCACAGCTAAAAGAAATAAAACCTTATTGCAAATTTTTTTAACAGAGTATTATGATGAATCTTTAGACCCATCAAAGATGCAAACAGCGGAAAACTGAGAGAAGCAAAAAAAGCAATTCAAAATCTGTTTAAATCACCAATAATCACTGGCATCATGAGAGCTAACAGACTGAAATGGTTGGGGCATATTAAGAGAATGTCAGATGACAGAGAGGTTAAAAACTGTATACACAAGGGAGATGAATGGTCGTAGACCACAAGGCAGACCAAGAAGATGATGTAGAGATAATGTTCTGACACACCTGCAAACACTTGGTGTCAGACACTGGAAACAGAAGACCAACCAAAGAAATGGCATGTATGCTCATAGATTGCCCGGCTCACTAGAGTAGTTGGTTGAATCTTACTTCGCAGCAACCAGGTGAGGAACTTCTTGTGGTCCAGGTTCACGCCCGGGGATAGGCAGAAAAGCCACATTTCTCCCAGATTTACGGTATCTATCATGGAATCAAAGCCGAAGGGTTGTGGGTTATGAGGCCCTATTACAGGGAAAACAAGAACAGACCCACTGCCTATGCAAAAGCATGTTGTAAGAGCCAACTCATTGGGAGCTTCCTTTGAAGTTGGAGTGCATCTGCCTTAGAGGCAAGAAACCAACAGTCTGCATACAAATAAGTCAGATCTGTAAAACGGATGCACATGCAAAACTCAGGTTCTGGAACAGGACTGCAGTCCAGAAGTGGATGAACAACCAGAACTTTCCGCCAGTTAAAAGCTGGTGCACAGGAAGAAGAAGAGGCCTCTAATCATGCAGTCTGCTCTGACACACTGACAGATACCTCAACACAGCAAGCCTGAGCAGGAACACAAGTTGAGAAACACAAAAGAGCTGATAAAGATTCAGTTTATTCTCCAACGATGTCCTCTCCATCAAACAATGCGCCAGAGGTAAATCATCTAGGGACCTAGCTATGTTCCAGAAAAATCTATTTATTTCTCCTTACAGAAAGCCTATGCTTTATAAAGGAATAAATTGAAGAAGAAGAAGACATTTCCATATCAAAGATTACTCACCACTTGCTCCACGCTGTCAGTTCGTATCAGCCTCCTTTTCGGATCCAGGTCAAGGTTCCAAGAGGTCAGAACATTAGCCTTTTGTTTAATCAGCTGCTGAATGGTCTGGTGAGCTTGAAATTTCTGCTCACTCAAACGCTTCCTCTCATTAAGTTTATAAGCAACATTCTCAAGCTCTGTCAAGGCAAGCTGAAGGGCTCGGCGATCATGATGGTCCTGTGGTGTGTACTTGATCAAATCCTTGCCAAAATGAATAAAGCAGAAAGCTTATAGAAGTTGACTTCAATGTAGTGAAAATGAAACAGTATTCGGGTGCAGTGCCATGAAGAAAACATTGGAGAGGAGGAGACATTTTTTAGGAGGTGGGAGGAGGGTAAAGGAGCATAAGCCCTGTTTAACTTGTAAAGATGATCATTATTGTTATTATAATTTTTGTATGCCAAATGGCAAACAGATATAATAATATACTTGAAATAATATGAAATGTAAGTAAGTAAGTAAACTTTACCCCCACCAGGACATCGCACAGAGCCATAAACACCCGGTGACACAAAGTGCCACAAGGGGGGATGACAAACATTAATATGAAATGTATGAAGAAAGGCTTAAAACAAGAGTGAGTGGGAGCTCTGCTCCCTAAACATTATTTGTGAGGCTCAGTGCCTCCTAAAATAATGGGGGGGGGGGGGGGGGGGGGGGGGGGGGGGGGGGGGGGGGGGAGGGGGGGGGGGGGGGGGGGGGGTCAAGGTGCTTGAGCCCTCAGGTTTCCTAGTCTATGACAGCAATACATATTAACTTTTTCATCTTCTTTTTCTTCTTCTTCTTAGTGTTCACCGTCTGTGAACTCTTGTGGAAAGTTCTTATTTTTCTTCCAATTCTGGGCCTTAGCCTTGTTCCAGAACTTGAGTTTTGTAAGCACATCCATTTTACAGATCTGGCTTATTTGTATGCAGACTGTTGGCTCCTCGCCTTGCAAGCTGAAGCACTCTAACTTCAAAGAAAACGCCCCAAATCAGTCACCTTTTACAACACATATATGCTAGGGAGGCATAGGTGCTATTCTTTTTTTCCCCACAAAATGGTGCCCCGAAAACCATATGGGGGATTAACTCTTTCAATACTATGCAACTTACTATTTGTTTATTGTACACTGACAGTATACATGTCAAACTCTTCTCTGATCCAGACAGTTGTTAGATTCAGAGCTTTCCAAACTTTTCATGACTGTGACACACTTTTTAAACAAACATAATTTTGCAACACAGTAATTCAGTCTACTAGCAAACCAGAGGTTAAACTAACTGCTTATAAGAGATATGGACATATACATGAAATAAAATCAGAAATGTTTCATAACACAACCTATCCCATGGAAACTTTTTGTTTATTTTATTTTACTAATGTTATTGAGAGCTGCCATGGTGTAGTGGCTAGACGTTCACAAGCGGATCAGTAAATCCTTGGTTCGCATCTTGACGGAGCAATACTTTTTTTTTTCAAAAATGACCTTGGCTCTCAGGTCGACCAGCCATTAGTGGGTACCAGGTACAGTCCTTGGAGGTAAAGGTGGCCAGCAAGATGCTCACATCATCCATTCAGTGTCGACTGATCTATAAAATATAGAGCTAGTCCCACATGCACAAAACACATGAAGGCGTGGAAAAAGGTCCTTTACTTTTTACTAATGTAATTACTTATTCAATGTTAATATTTCTCAAATTTACCTGCAGAAACATGATGAACTGTGGGAAACGCTGCACTGGTTTCACCATTAACCCAAATATGGACAGTCGGTCATGAGACAATTTCTCTTGTTTCTGAAAATATGTAAAGACATGCAAGTGACACTCTACACAAAATATGCTAACCTTAATAAAAAACCATGCATATTTTATCCAAGCACCACAAAGGACTGCAGATTACTTTGAAATGCAGGAGTGACCTAATTAATATAACAGTGTTATACAATTGAAATGGATTCAGCTCCTCTCTGAATTTCATCACTGAGATCCTAATCATATGAACAGCAATCCTGGAGGTGTAAAATAACAACCACTGACCCTGCATTTTATGTTAATTTATTTGAACCCATAATTACACTTGAACTCTCAGCATTCATCTTTATGACAATGAAACTTAATTAACATAATCGCACTAGAAAAAAAAGCTAAATAGCTTTCGCATGCGATTCCTAAAAACAATACTTGGCATTATGCGGCAAGACAAGATCACAAACACTAGGGCATTGAAAAGAGCAGGCACTAGAACAGTTTTCTCAATGCTCAGTCTCTGAAGGCTCTGGTGGCTGGGTCACACTTGGCAAATAGAGGATGGCAGAGTCCATAAGGAGATACTCTATGGTGAATTACATACAGACAGGTAGGAGTTATCAAAGCCGTGGTCTACCACGATTTAAAGGTGTCTGATGGTCTGTAAAAATATGGGACGCTCTGTCCATATGCCCGATGCGCCGAAAGGTGTGAAAAGGGAACTTTACTTTTTTTTTAACACTTTTTAAGTGTACATGAATGATACAGGTATTTAGGTACATTCATAGGATCAAAATGCCTTGGACCATTTTGTATGGCGTGCGAAAATCAGGACAAGAATGAGAATTTTGTTTAATGTGCAGAAAGGTTGTGAGCTGAGCATCTGAAAAGAAGCATGTTGAATACAAGACAGCAACAACGGTCCAGAAATCCCACACTCTAATTGTTAAAGAATGTTCTTAATGCAGGCAGATCTTAAAAGTCACACTCACCATCGCCAGGGGCTGTGATTTCCATGCCTCCCTATAGCACAATATAACACTTCTTTTTTTTTTATTCTATCACAGCAGGAGGTGATCTCTGGAACAGGCCCCTCTGTCCGCTTCATATAAAGTACTTTTCAGTGTCTAATATTTCTGCGATCCATTGTCTGTGTGGTTGACCTCATGCTCTGTAAACGCTGTATCTGTATAACATTGATCTCTGTCACGCCCAGTCTGATGCCAAACTTGTTACATGGCCAAACCATTTGATATGTTGTCTACCTTTAAAGTTCAGTAATGGTTCTGTGTCAACTCACCTCTCGATATCATTGTCCCTAAGTTGATCTTTCCTTGTAACACCTAGCAAAGCAAGTAAACACGCTCCCTTCATCTCCTTAGAGACCAATGTATATTTGATTGGTGAGGTAGTCTGTCCCATTCTAGCCACCTTTACATTCCAGATCATTTCCTGGCAAACATTTTAGGCTGGATTAACCTAAGAGACCAAATCACGGGTTGAAAACTCCCAAGGAACATTCTGGCTGTTTGTCCACTTCTCGACTTTAATCTTATTTCAGATTTTAATCTTCTTCAAGAACTTGAGTGTTGTACACATCCATTTGCCACACGTCTTACTTGTATGCAGGCTGTTGTTTCCTCATTTTTTAAGCAGATGTACTTTACCTTTGAAGGTAAAACCCTAATTAGTA